AAATTTAAGAGTAAGCTGTAGCTCATGAACAAAAGTGTGTTTGATTTATAAAATACTAATTTAACTTGATTGATTTTTATTTATTTATTTTTTTATTTCTGGTGTGGCTTTCATGTGGTATGTATGTTTATGTATGCTTATAAAAATATTCATCTTCCTTTAGTTTTTATAAAGTACTTTTTATGAAGTTTTGCATATCTAAAATAAATGTCATAATGTTAGAGAAATTATTTATTTATTTTTTGTTAAATTCTTTAGTGAATTTATTTATGTATTCATGTTCCAAGTGGGCCCAGTAAATAATGGTCAATATTGGTCACTTTATTAAATGCATAATGATATGATTGGAAACTAAATTGTAAACACCTCAATGTTGCTGTTTTTTTTATAATAAAGGTAAGTAACTGTGTCAGGCACAATATTTCTTTCAGATTATGAAACACTTGGTAAAGCTGTTGACTTTTGCACAGACATCACAACATGAACTCGTAAGAGCTCAGGAAAAAAAGCAGCTGGTCTTCATTTTCAGACATTTGCCCTCTCAGTTGAATCACTTTTTTTAGTTCTAAATGACGACTGGAGAGTTTCAGACTTCTAAGCTGCAACAGGGCAGAGCATAGTAAGAAAATCTTTAAAGTTGCCACGTGTCATTGAGCTATCTGTCCATCCGATGTGTTGTTTGGGTTGGTGAATAGTTGTGAGACCACCTTGGGAGAACAGTCAATGTTGGTTTGTATATGTGTGATAGTTTCCAGCTGTGCCAACTTCTTTCATCCTGTTGGATTTGTTGTTTTGTTTCCCCTATATATATAGACATCTGTGTTGTCTTTGTTTCACGGCACAGTGAATCCCACACCTTTCAGCTTTTCTGTGACTTACGATGTCACATATTGCTCCGATTCTCCATGTAACACAATTTCTTTGTCAACAATAAAAAAACACATTTTAAATGGGATTTAGATTTTAAGTTGCAGCAGCCCTTTCAAATAGACTGGAAGCATTTATGATTATGAATGGAGTGAATACAGAAAATCAAACCTTTTAAGACTGATTGTTTAAAATGGGTTAAAGACAAAATTGTCATCTCTGCTGCCAACCTCTCAGTAAGCTGCTGGCTGTCCTACAGGAAGTCCTTGAAAGAAGCTGCTAAACGACATCACAATTGATTATTTGCATGTAATTATGATTGATGCAGCAGGAGAGATAAATAAAGTAACTGTATCATTGAGCCCATCAAAAAAAGACTAAATTTGTACAACTGCATGTCATCTGCTTGTCAATTCTGGTGTGTTTGTGTAGGTTGGGCTATGTGATTGAGGGGTCCATTGTTTTGTCATTAGTTATGTTTACGTGGACATCAGTAATTGGAAAAAAAAAAAAACCGATCTGAATAAAAATGCGTCATGTAAATGCCCCAATAGGATTCAACTCATTTGGAGTGAATCTGAAATGCAAATGAGAAAGCGATTTCATGCCAGTTGATAATCTGAATGGCCTTTGTGTAAATGCTTTGGGTCATACTATTCTGATTGTGAAAAACTAAAGTGACTGGGCATATGTACGCTATGTCAGGTTAGCAAAACGGGTCTGCTGATCTCTCATCCTTTAACGCAGGAAGACCAGCAGCAGACTGCTCAGTCTGTAGCTTAATTACTGAGTGCAGTTGAGTCTCAAGCTTCATTAGAACCTGGCATGGGTGCTCAGAAGATGCAGATAGAAGACACTGCTGCAATAGATTTTTTTTTGTTTTGTTTTGGGGTTTTTGGGGGGGTTTTCTGTGCAACACAACCCAAAAGTACAACTTTCAACACAAACCTCCGGCAGATGAGTCGACTTCAGAAAATTAATTTTAGTGTACAAATCTATGTTCCCCCCCCAATGTAATGGAAATTATTACAAGTAATTTGGGCTGCACTTGGGCTCATTGTGCACCTGGGCATTGTTGACGTTGTTGCTTATCAGCATCAGTCATGTTTACTAACATGTGCATATTTCTAAGCATATACATATCTTTTCATACAAAGTAATAGTAAACCCCCAGGACCATATGCCTACATTTCACAAATATCAGGATCCATGCCCAATGACGAACCTTGTAGCACAAAGAGAAGAACAAATACACACAGTCACACACAGACATATGCTCATAAACACTAATGCTGCTCTTTCTTAAAATAGCATGCTTACTCATCTACATGACAGTCATACCGCGGAACAATAAAAAAAAAAAAATCACACTACCGCATCATCTTTCAACAACAACAAAAAATGCTTAAAAGGTGTATATATATATATATATATATATATATATATATAATATATATATATAATATATATATATAATATATATATATATATATATATATATATATATATTTCTAAAAGGCACAAGTCCAAATCCAGTTTGGCAAGGTTTAAGCCATCTTTTTTTTATTATTATTATTTTGCATGATATGCAGTATTTACCGCACGAACAGATGGCGGGAGGCACAGCACTATTGGCCCAGCAAACTAAGCTTTATCTCCTGTCAAGGGTAAAGGTGAAGTAGCATATCTTCAACCCACAGATTACTCATAAAGAGTTCAATAATCTCCCAGCAGTTATGGCATTTGAGAATTCTGCACTCTACAAAATATTATCATAACCTGTAGTCAGCAAAAGCATAGGGCATTTTCTAGGACAATGAAAGGAGTGAAGTTGTTTTAATATATTCAGAACTCTCTGAAAGACAAGATTATTGTTCAGGTAAATGTGATTAAATGATTACTGGTTAAAATCAATATTTTTTTTTAGCATTTATACATGAAAATATATTGGACATTCTTTCCAGAGACATGGTTTGAATACTGAAATCCAAATTAATATATCACTCCAGTATTTTGTAAAATTCCCATTCACAAGGAAACGTTTTTGATTTATTTTGCACAATTTTATAGGCATTTGTTTCAAAATTCACAATTCAAAAATTCAGAGTTGATTTCTCCAAGTATGAAAATATGTCTGTGTTACAGTAGTTCAAGTTTCTCAGGTAGAAACAGAGGTCAAAGTTACTGCATGAGGAAAGCATTAATGCCATATTTGTTATTTGCTATATTTGTGTACAGTGCAACTCAGGAGGTTCAGAAATTGTGTGAAAATTTGAGTAAAATAACTGTTTCAGTGTTCCTTTGGAAAATCAATTGTGATCCCAACATTTTCATACAGCAGAAAGAGGTCCCATCATGTTTGAAAAACATCTTTAGGATTTTATGTTGAAAAAGGACGAGGCTAAGATATTGCTCTTAATAACTGCAAAAAAAGGGCATTGTGTGCTAAAAGCAATATAGAAGTTGCAGTTTCACAACATTGTGATCTGCTGTTTAATCCAAAAATTATCTGTTTTCGTCCTTTAAATAAATATCATGTAGCATCTAGAAAAAGTAAAAAAAGGGAATAAAAATATTTAAAACAAAATATTTTGGTTATTTAGCGTTGAGAGTTATTGCTGTAAATTAATTCCGAGTCAGTCTTCTTTGCTCCCTCTCTGCACCTTGAGGCCACTGTTACTATTGAACACAACTCATGTAGCTCTCCTCTGCTGCCCGTGTCCTCTGACCTAGAATCAGCAGGTTAATAACCAGCTGCACCACAAGCCATTTGTCATTCGGTACCTGCCACTGATAAGAGATGTCAACGAATGTCTATGCCCTTGTCCCCTCCCCACTACATGACATATACTGTATCACACTTTGCAATCTTAGACTCCCTGAGGCTTCTTAGTACTCCTCTACTGAACAACCACTCCCTCTTGATAGTATTGGATCCTTCTGCCACGATCCGCAGTGAGATAAACTAGTGATCTCCTTTGGTGTGTTTTCAACTGGGTTTTTTTTGTTCTTTTTTGTATTGCACATACATTTACAGACCTTTTCTTCGTATTTGGTGCTTTTTACTTTGCTGTATCTTCTGTCCTTTCACGTTGAAAGCCCAATGCCAAGCATTGCCTGGGAGGTGGGTTTTCAATTGGTAAAATGTAGGATTGCTAAAACAATGAGTTTTTATATGTTGTTTAGTTCAGCACCAATTTGTCTGAGTGAAGTGTAGCATCATGAAAAGAAATAGTTTATGTTCATACGTGACTCAAAAACTAATTTATGAAACAGTTGGACTTCCATTCAAAACACATTGCCATGAAAATGGTTAATTTTGGGCATTTAGAATTTTTTTGTGATGATGGATTGTTCATACATCTTTCAACTTCAATGATGAGAGAACAAAACAGAATCATTGAGCCCACAGCAAGAACTTTGCATGACTCTGGACAGATATTTGACTCCTACAGTTGAGCTAATATAACTTGGTTTGCTTCCTGCTGTTACTCTCACAGGAAAGAAAATGTGTTAAAATGTTGAATAACAACTCACCACCAAGACTCCAGCCTATTATAAATTTATCAAATTGTGTCACTCTCTGCAGAAAAGTCACTTTTAAATCACAATGTGCAGAGAGGGTACTAATTAAAAAAGAAGCTCCTGCTTAAAAGACAACACCTTCAGTTTTGAGCAACAAACATTGGTACCTACATGGGCAAGTTATGTAGAACTGTTGTAGTTAGATGAGACAAAGACTCAGCTATTAGGCCACAATATTTGGAAGAGTAAAAATGAGAGTTTAGAAGCTAAGAACTAAAACAACTGTTAAGCATGGAAGTGGAAGCATCATTCTGATGCATTTTGCAACAGCTGGATGGTTGAAACTTGGACAAATGTGAGATCCCAACAAACAGAAAAACAACATTGGAATGGGCAAAAAAGGCTTATGTTAAAAATCAGATCCTGAACCTCAACCGTATTAAAAATAGATCTATTACTTTAAAAAAGTAGACCGATGCTAAAGCCTTAATGTGTTGTTGTTTTTTTCTTTTTTTTGTTATTAAAATTAGCATGTTTCCTCTATTTTTTTCAGTATCTATTACATTTTTATATAAAAACTGTTTTTCTTTCTCATTTTTGATTTTCAGAGATGTCTGGTACGGGAGAGGAGATTTCTCAGGTGCACTGGAAGCAACAGTGGTTGGAAAACGGGACGCTGTACTTCCACGTCTCCATGACTGAGCCTGAACTCTTGGCACAGACGACACAACCCACAGCTCGGGAGCCAGCTCATGCACTGCACGAGCACATGCATCTGCTTCACATCTCAGTTATGGTACGTTCTCAACTGAAACATAATGGCTGTAGTCGTAAAAACATGGTCTGTTTTCTACAAGTTTGAAACTTCCTTTTTCAACAATATGCATGCTTTCTTCTTGACTCCTTTCGCCAAGATATCTTAGAAGCGGTCCTGTTTTAAAGCTTTAACATCCACAGACACCAGTGAAAGGCTGATGGAGTTACAATTTAGATTCTATATGGTACCGTTTTCAATGATGAGAGAACAAAACAGAATCATTGAGCCCACAGCAAGGACCTAGCTGTGATTTTTTTTTTTCACGTAGTTTAAACAGGCAAGCTTTTTTTGATGACGTGATTTTATTTAAAATCCATTACTTTCCCACAAACTGATATGTTTGAAGAGGTCCTCCATCACTGATGGTTTGAAGGTAATGCTTACCAGCCAATTTTGTCTGTTTAGAACGTTTACACTTTGCGAGAGGTTTGCCTTGAGATTATGAATGTTTGACATCTCTTGCAAACTTGGGGTTTTCAAAGGCATTGAAGTGGGGCGTGCTGGTAAAGAGTTTGGAGTCAGCTCTATGGCATCACAGACAAAGTGTGCAGGTTAAGATCCTGAAATTATCCGGCCTGAGCATTTCATTATTGTTCTATATTTTTTTTTTATGTATTCTGGAAGCTGGTTAATTAATTACTGTGAATTATGAAGTCATAGTAATTCATAATTATTATAAATTATGAATTTTCTAACCTTAAAGTGAAAGTAACTTTTTTTAAAATCCTTTTTTTTTTTTTTACAGAATTTTATGAAAGTCACCCAGTGTAAGCATGTGGTTAGAATAGTTTCAGTGTGATCGTTTTTTGTTTTTTGTATCTAGCTTTGCATGTGAAGGCGTTTTTGAAAATTTTCCAGCACGGGTTTATTGGTTTGCTGTAGTATAATCGATGTTTCAGTTTAAGCTGTCGCTTCTATCACTAACACCAAAGGTTAGTGATAGAGTGATAGATACAGTTTTATTTTTGCTACTTCCAAGATTATTTGTCTGACTAGAGTTTTTAGTACCACCTCTTCAATATTTTTGATATTTTCTTTTTTTCTGTAGAACTTTCCAAATCTCTCCATTTGTAAATAATTTATATTTATGAATGCATTCTGACATCGTATGACTTGTCTTCACTGTGATTTACCTGCTTCCCCCCAATCATCTTCTTCATCAGCCTCTGTTTTCAACACTTTGCTCATGAGTTTGACTTCTCAGATCAATTCTCAGGTCACACTTTTTCTGGTGCTAACATCTTTTCCTCCTCACCTATTCTTCTTGCTCCTCTTCCTCTATTTCTGTAACCTGCCTGACTTTAACAGTCCTTCTCCTCTGTGTGTTCATGTCAGTGTTCTCCTCAGTTCCTCTTACCTCCTCTGCTTACAGCTCTTAAGTGTTCAGCTTTTTTTTAAACCATTTTTGTCCCCTCTTCAGTGATGTGTCAAAGATTGGCATATCATAAAATTATTTTAAAAAACAACTAAACAGGAGTTTAAAGTTATGTTTTAATGATTCAGTGGGTATATTTAGAGTATCTCATTCACCTACATCTTCCTGTTCCCATGGTGCTGAAACAAGGATCTTCAAATGAGTGTTAATTTTAGGTTAATGCAAGTAATGGAAGTCAGAAAAAATATATAGCTTGCAGTGATATTAAGAATTTTTAAAAGAAGAAAAACCCACATAAGGGTAAGGATAGATCTCACCAATATGTTTGCTATAAAATACATGTTAGATATTTATTCCTTATCGTGTCTATTTTATGTGAATCTTTTCACCTGTGATTACTTGCAAGATACTGGGATCTCTCCTTCTGCAAACTTATAATGGTAATATTCATTGCAGTACCCTTTTTTTCATGATCTTTCTTTTGACAGTTTCAAAAGAATGCTAACAGTCACATGATCCAGTAATATGGCATTTTGTGCATACCCTGTCAACTTTGACAAGTTGACTTTGCTTAAAAAAATCTTGGAAAGTGATTGCCTTAAAAAATATAAGTTTAACTACCATTCTTATGTTTTGTTTACTTAATATATACTTGTTCAGTGTTCTTAAGATCTTGTTGTATGAACTTAATCAAGTGAATTTAAATTAATTTAGTGAAGTTGTGTCAAATTTGAAATAGGAAGTAAATTATCCTCTTGTTAATTCAAATTAAGCTACTTAGTCCAACTTACATGAACAGTACAATTTACTTAGCAGAATCTAGGAAACCAATTGCATTAAATAAGTTAAGTAACCACAACAAAAGATTTTAAGTTAACAAGATTCAATGTTGTACTTTAACAAAATTATATACTTAGCATAACAGAACAGTCAATAATCCTACAGGAACCTGGATGAAATCTGCCAGAGCATCTGAATCCTGTGGATAATAATAAAAAAAGTACAAATTAAAAAGAAATAATGAGGTAAAAGTTTTTATTTTCTTGTGCACAAGTTCTGAACAACATAATTATAGTACATACAAGAGACATTGTAGAACTCTCCTCCATCATTGTCAAGGAAAACTGAGAGACATCACAGGGCAGCAGGCCTCATGGCAACAACATCATTGGTCTACAGTAGGAAAAACAATAAAAGTAAACACAAGCATATTCTGAAGAAACTAACATTTTTTCACAATAAGTGGCATAAAATAAATGTTCACCCTTATTTGTAATCTAGACTGATAACAATATTGATGGTTGCACAATTAAAGGAGCAACAGCAAAGGAGCAACTGTAATTTTCCAACCTGCCACCAGCTGATTATTATATTAATGCCACAGATTGTTGCTCAGTCATTCATTATTTAAACAACCAACTGTGTTTGTTCCAGTCTCACTCACCCAAACGTCAACGATACAAGTTTCAGTATTCAGGTACTGTAGTTTTCCTCCCAAAGTCCAGGTTGTTGGGTTCATTTGTCTCTCCAAGTTGTCCTTAGGTTTAAGTTTGTGGGTGCAAGATTGTTTGTCCAGTGTGTGTCTGTGTTGCCCAAGGATGAACTTTGGGTGAAACCGCTGGAGACAAGACACTGCGACACGAATTGCTCATTGAGAATGATGATGGTAGAAATATTTTTTGGTATAATTCTTTGGAATAAAATTAAATAGAAAAAGAGATAATTAGCATTTCTTCTTATAACGTTGTATTCTTCAAATTCTGTTTGAGAAATGCCTGCCTTATTTTCTTTTAGAAACTGAGTTCTTTGCTCAGTGAAAAATCATTGTAGCTCTGACTTCAAGGAGCAGGAATAATTTTGGCCTTAAGTGCATTTAGTTTATGGACTGGGTTCATCTTTAATTACAGTTGTGAATGTCTTTTTTTTTTTCTAGAATTAATACCTTTTTGCCTCTTCATTATCTTCAATTATGTTTTATTGATTGAATAACATACAACCTTTCCCAAGTAATATTTTTAATCCAAAGTGCACATGAGCAAAAGGTGAAACTCTTTCACAGGGCTCTGCACAAGACCTTATTTTGACCCATTGGCTGCTGTTTTTCCTGCCTGCATAATTAAATGCTAACTAAGTCATGTGTCAGATTCAGAAAATACCTTTTTAAACTTAACTTTCCATTTATCCCAGCCACACATAAAGTCGGCTGGTTCAAATGTAAAGTGAATAGGAAGGGAGAGGAGAGGGGAAATCATATGGAGGCACTCAAAATGGGATAGGAGGTGTTCTGGTTAGGCTTCATGGCCCTAAGGAGTCTCCTGGCTCTTCTTGTGAACATCATAATGTCGATGCTGTCAGTTTTTGTCCAGGCTGAAGAGCGAACTCTATTTTTTTCAGCATTGAGTTGTCAGCTTCTCACTCACACAAGCGCCATTTCTGTGACTCCCACTACTCTTCGATTGTCTTTTATATATATATATATATATATATATATATATATATATATATATATACAATTTTTCATTATTATTGTTTTATAATGTGAAACAACTCTACATTATGCAAAGCTTTGTTGCATTACCTTAATTTCTGAATTTAAAGCTATACATGTGTATATAACTGCAGATTCAGAGTGAAATGTCATATTTTTTACAAATATTAATTTAAGGGAGAGAGCAAAAGTTTGAAATCTGAATAGTCCACGTTTCTTCTTAATACAGTAAATATGCTGGCGATATCTCTTATGTTTCCCTGTTTCATGGCAATGAGCAGTTGCAAGGTAACAAGTAATACATTCAGATAGTTATTGTCCTACAAGATTAGCAGTCATCCATAACAAGACAGTCCTGACTGGTGAGGTAGAAGCTAACTGGACATGTCCACTTGTCTGTTGAAGACATTTCATACTGTAGAAAAACAAACAAAAAAAATGTTGAGTTTCATTGACAATTTTTGGGGAGCAGCATTTCACTGTTCACAATTTAAATAAAATCCGATTTATGATTTTGGATATTTTTAAATGACAATTTTTTTTGTCGTTGTGCCACAGCTGCTTGTTTTAACATGAGTAAGTAGTCGAGGGGTGAAAAGTATGAGTAATCAATACAGTTTAAAAGTATGAAAACAGGCACCCAACATTATTTTTAAAATTTTCTATCCTTGTAATTTCTCATCGTAGTAAGATCTTTTGTTATTCAATACGATTTCACATATAACCATTTAGAGGTGCCTGTCCATAGAGGTTGGACACAGAAGAAGACTGTACCTTCCTTTGATGCCAGTAGAAGCTTAATGTGTGTCTCATCTTTTCTATATAACAGGACAGTAAAATATTATTTTGATGCTTAGATGTTGGTTACCTTTAAGAGTCGAAGAGGTTATTGACTCGAGAGTCAACCAGTGAGTCAATTTGTGACTAGTATTGAGTACAACACGGGACATATTTCATCCTATTATATTACATATTTCATGCTAACAGACTTTGTACATGTGTTGAGGTAGCTGAGAAATTACTGAACTACTAGTGAATTCACTTTGAAAATATGTTTTACAGTTTTTTTATTTATATATAATTTTGTATCATTCCTAACTTTTCTCTCTTTCCTCT